TTTTTTTTTTTTTCCTAAATCCCTGGGTGGGCTCCAGCCAGCCAGCATTTTATGGGAAAGGCCCGATAACAAATACTGTTTGTAAGCCATTGAGCTTTTTAACCACAAAGCTCTGCCACTGTAGCTCTCAAGGGGCCACAAACAATACACAAAAGGACAGGCATGGCTGCCTTCCAAGGAAACTTGATTTATGATACTGAAACTTGAAATTCACGTAATTTCACATTATAAAATCATCTTTTTCTCCCCAACAATTTCAAAACGTCAAAGCCACTCCTAGCTTTCAAGGCCAGGCAGTAACAGGTGGTGGGCGGGATTTGACCCACAGACAACAGAGTGTGTTAATGGCTTGGATGTGAGGTGTCCCCAAAACTCACAGGAGACAATGAGGAAGGTTCAGAGGAGTGATGACTGGGCCGTCAAGAGTCAACCCAGTCAGTGATTAATCCCCAGACAGGGGTTACTTGAGTGGTAACTGAAGTGGTATCTCTGGACAAGTGGAGTTTCTCTGCCTCCAGGTCACCCTGAAGTGACTTGCTTCCCTCTGCCACTGTCAGGATGTTCAGCCTCACCTGGAGCTCTGAAGAATGGAGCCAGCCTTCTATGGACTAAGATCTCTGAAACTGTGAGCCCTCAAATAAAATTTTCCTCCTCTAGAATTGTTCTGGTCAGATCCTTTAGTCACAGCATTGAAAACGCTGAATGAAATAGTGTTTTGTTTTGTGGTACCATGGGCCCTTGGCCATTGAGCCACATCCCAAGCCCTTTTTACTTATTTTGAAACAGGGTCTCCCTAAATTGCTGAGGCTAGCCTCAAACTTTCAATCCTCCTGCCTCAGCCTTTTGAGTTCCTGGGATTACAGGGGTACACCCAGCAAGGGTTTTCTTAAGTTGATTTCCTATGGATAGAAAGCCAGAGATGGGACATGCAAACATGAGGACGTAACACCCATCCCCAGGGCTGGGATGTGGCCCAGTGGTAGAGGACTTGACGGCATGTGCATGTCCCCAGCACTTCGAAAAAAAAGGTTTTGGTGGGAATAGACTCCTCAAAGTTTCCGTTTTTCATCTCTAGTCCTAAATTGAAGTAAATAATACAAAGCTCTCAATTCCTGCATTGACACTGATTTGTCTAGCTTTCTGTTTCCACAGCTTTCAGTGTGTGTGTGCCTGCACATCTTCATATATCCATATGAAGATGGGATCTCCCCCCCCACAAAGGGCGGGGCTGGGATGGAGCTCAAGATCCTGGATATGTTAAGCAAGTGCTCTACCATTGAGCCACACCTCAACCCAACCCCAAACACTTTACTTTTGGCTGCAGGTTAATGCTGCTGGATTTCCTTTTTTTTTTTTAAATATTTATTTTTTAGTTCTCGGCGGAT